CTTTTTGGTCTTGGATTCGGTACGCTTGCTGTGTACCAAGGTTTCATCGTCCTTCTTCTGAAAATAAACCTCCATCAAACGCTCCAGCTCGTTTTCGTCGATAGACTTATGTGGTTCTTGGCCTGCGGTATACATAGGTGTAGCTTACACACAACCAGCGAGCGGAAATTCCGTAGCAGAAGTCATACCTGACATGGCTCTCTCCTTTGCGCGCTTCGATCGGTACTCTTTCCCCAACTTGTCAACGTGCTTGCGTACACCGTCAGCAAACAGCTTCTTGCTCAGCGCTGAGCCAAGTCGCTCCGTGATTTCGACCCACCGCTCGGTCTTCGAGGCGTTACGAAGCTCGAGGATCCCGTCATCACCAACCACCTCGTTCATGAGCATGCAGTCTGCTTTCACAGAGTATGTGATGCGTTTTTTGCGGGCTTTCTCGCTCTTGTTTACTCGACGCTGTCGCTTGAGCCGAGGTTCTGCCTCGTCATCGCCTCCACCACTGCGTACGGGTGGCGCTGACACGGCTTGCAGAACTTGTGGCTCGTCACCGTCCAACTCGACGTCTGACTGCATAATCATAGTAGTTAGTGACAATTTGTCCAGTGGCACCGTCAGAATGAACACGTACTGTAGTCTTTAAAGGTGTCCAGGTAAGGAGCTGATTAGCGCGTTTGTCCATTGCTCTGGAACCTCTGTCGGCTTTGTCCGGGAGTCGCGCGGGGGTCGTGGCCAGCACCGAGGTTTTGCGGGTTGGCTGGTTTCCCTTTGCCCATGGTTGCCGCACGCGATTGGTGCGGTATCACCTAGACTGATGTCGAGTTTATCGGGTTAAAGGTTCTTACAGGAATCCGTTGAGCTATGGCACTGGAATATCTTGACCCTCTTATATTCCACTGGAACAAGGTTTGGGTATATAAATATGCAAGTTACGTTTTAAGTACGATTTTATTGCAACATTTTATTCCAAGGTGACGGTATATTCCAGAAACTGAAGTTCTCTAATATCTGGGAACGGACTTGGTGGACACGAGGTATGTCATGTACGACAGGATATCAGGTTTATCAAGGTTCATTTAAGACGGGTTTTACTGTATCACGGCCACAGGACGATTTGAGCCCTTCAAAAATCACGCGTCCGTCGGACGGGACAGGATACAGCTGAGCATCAACTCGATGCCTCTTTGCGATCCATCATGGATTTCATGGGCCATGGCAACCCGCCAAGCTGATCGGCATCATTTTTCCTTGCTCTCCACCGGTTCATTCTGAGTTTCGCGACCGAAGTCTCAAGAAATACCCCCAAGCTGCCATGGACCTCGCGCTCACAATCATTGACGGTCTCCGCAAGATCTTTGAGTTGCGTGATGCGATTCGTCGCCAGCGCCACGAGAGCCGGAAGATGTACCAAAGCTGTCGAGAAGCTCGCAAATGCGGTGGCCTCGTTCTCAAAGTACCTGCAAAAATACCACGACACGCATCGAGCGTCCGAATGTTCAAACATGTGAAAATGGAGAAGCGACAGAAAATCGCTTCAGAAATCGACCAATTCTTCCGAACGCTCAACCTCGCTGCGACTGTGACATTGATGAACGAGCAAGCCGCCGCTTTCAGTAGCGCGGCGAAACTCTTCGCTAAGCTTGAAGATGAGCACGGCGGCATCAAGCTCAGTCACGACTAAATTCACGCTGCCCTCCTCGCAGACAAGCAGCAGATCGAAATGGTCAACAAGATGACGATAGTTGAGCAAGCGACATTCACGACACGTGCTCTCCTTAAGGGGCATAATACAAAACGTTTGGCTCGTCAAACGAATATGAAGAAGAAGTACCCGCATGGGTCGGCAACAAATTGACGTAAAAAGGGTGCGTGGGTGAGGAGAAAACGGCGATTGAAACGAAGAAGAGCGTAGCAGGTACATGTACTGTGGAGGAAGACAAGGTTGTATTAAAGCCTACCGGATGCGGATGAAAAAGCGACGTCGAGGCTACCCGAGCGTCACCAATGTTTAGATTGGTGCGACGGTGTTGACAGACAGGCCGGTCTCGGATATGACGATGGTAGCGCCAGCAATAAAACCACGCAAGTTGTGCTTGCGATGGAGGCCATGGGAGCTGACGGGCTTGCCAAAGCAACGGAAGATGCCCGGGGACTGAAGCCTGTTGTCCTCGCGTTGTGATGAGTTGTTAGGGCGTTGCGTGCATTGTTACTTGACCAGAAATGGGTTCTGGCCATCCGTTTCGCTATCATCGACCATATGCCGCGCTACTGGTAGCACCGTCACTTCTTCGTCGGATCAAGCTCCCAAATGCTTTAGATAATTCGACACTCTTGTTTAGCGTGGTTGGGGCGCCGGTGGTATGCGCACCTCTGTGTACGACGAGGCGGGTCATCGTGTCCATAGCGCGCGCTGGATAGCTCCTGTAGCGCTGGCTACTTGGTCGTCGCAACAGATTGCGAGCTGCTCTCATTAGTAGCGTACTTGCGCTTGGCATAGCCACCAAGCTCCTTACGCTCGATTCCCGTCTTTAGTTCGGTATAAGTGCTGTGGGGCAGCCGTAGCTTTTTGCGTCAGAGGAAGACGCCCGGCTCAAAGCGTCCGTAATTCCAAACTCTCCTTACACGATGCTTCGCTCTTACCGTACGATGAGACCCGTCGCAGCGATCAGGGTTGTCTCTACCAATGACCTGCTTGTAGCTCTAAGCCTACGAAGGTCCGAGAAGCCGAGTCGTATCGACCCGTGGCCCGGCCATTCAAGAATCCGCCGCACCGTGCTGCCCAGCAGATTTGTATGTATGCGGGCCCGCGGCCACTACCGCTGATGAAGAAGTGCTGTGACACCAGCTCCGTCAACATTCCTTGGCTCCACAAGTCACCACTCCCCAGGCGTATCGGTAGTGCATTCGGCGACAGCTGAACCAACAGTCGGTTCAGCCATGCACACAGTCTCTATGGGCCTTCGTCATGGA